AGTAGAGCAGGGTTCCTCACCCCCAGCAACTTTAAGATGGGTGGCCGCAACTCTCCCAGAATCCCCCAGCCAGTCATGGGTGGAATTCTGGGAGTTGAAGTCCACCCATCTTAAAGTTGCTGAAGTTGAGGAACCCTGGAGTAGAGGACAGAGAAGGTATGTAGCTAGCAATCTGGTGCTTTGTCACTGGCTACATCACCAAGGCAGCCATTTTATTAGAGAGGCCACAACATCTTTGCAACATTCCAAATAAATTGGGGGGTCCCTGCTGTGCAGACAACTTACTTGTCCCAAGCCTGTTGTTCTTCATCATTAAATGGAGCCACCATCTTAACCTGTTCCTGGTGAGAAAGGAGGACGCTGGCATATTGCACAACACAGTGGATCCAGGGCTCCCCGCTAGCTGTCAAACCATGGAGGTGCTTCTTCCTCATTTCTTCTGCTTCAGCTGAGTCTCCCAGGGCAGGCATTGTGTTCAAATGCTGAAGCAAACTGCAGAGAAAATAGCAATTAGAAACAGCTCTGCAATACAACAGACTCAAGGTTGATTTGGCACTAGTACATGCTTCAAAATGTCCAAATACTGCAATGTGATTTCTCTCCTGACTTAAACATTCCTGGTCCAGGGTTAATAGAGAGCCATTTTCTCCAGCAGAGAATTCTACAATCCCACCGACCCTCCATTTTCATTTTTCCACGTGTCACTATGGTCATTACTAGATGGGCAGGGAATAGCCCTGTTGCTCTTTTTAAAATAGCATTTTTTTGTATTTCGTACACCCTAGGACTAGCACACATCCCCTTGCATCTTTCAGGGACCCAATTTTTGCTTCAACTTTCTATGAGAAGGAATGAATGTACTTCTCCTGGTTCTGTAGTTGCTGTGCTTTTACTGAGGTATCATCTGTGACCATTGTTCTTTCTAAAGTGTTATGCTCCACGTTTCCACAGAGCAGACTACTCAATGGGTAAGAACAATGTCCAAAACTACAAGTTGAAAAAAGATCCTAAAATCCCATGCCACGTTATAAAAAAACTAAATCCCAAACAAACACCACCGGTACCGTCATAGATTTTTGTAACCTCTATGTCCTGCTTTTCCTCCCTGAGTTTAAAGCATTATGCATGGTTCCTCCCCACAACTCTGTGAAGTAGATTAGCCGGGGAGGGAGTGACTGCCCCAAAGTCACTCGTTGATCTTCATGGCTCAGTGGGGATTTTAAAACCCTTCCCAGCCCTTACGCAACCCTTCAACATTTTAACCATCCACCATGATTAGTCTTCCCAGTGAGCCAAGCAAGAAAAAAAACATATTTGATACCTGAAAAATGAGTCTGCAGCAACCGTGCGAGAGACTTCATTCAGAGGAACTGCAGGGAAAACTTTTGTTTCTGTTATCTTCGGGAATGGTTTCTTGGCCTCAAAAAAAGCATGAAAGAAGCAGAACCTGGAAGAGTGAGAATCTTCTCAATACACGGATGGAAACCAGCCTTTCCAAAAGACAAGCAAAATTAAACAGAAACAGTTCCCACCATGTGCTCTGCCACACGGTATGTAACCATGGCTGGTTGTGAACAAACCACAACAGGCTGGATTTACTCAGCCCTCAGCCATATTTCATGGTTTATAATCCACACACGTTAAGCCAAAACCAAACAGACCACCTTATGACTTAGCCCAATCCATAAACCTTGTCAGAATCTCTAGAAACTTGGTAGGGATTCAAGCATACTGGGTTTTGTTTAGAAACTAGTTTCATGTCCTCATTTGTTGTAAGCTTAAAACCAGAACAGAAATACACATCCTGCAAATGTAACAGAGGCTGACAATGGCCGTAGCACTCGTGACATTCCTAAAAGGTGTCCAGCGATCCCTAAAATTAAATGATGTGAGATAAAAAGGACTAAACTCTCACAAGATCACTAAACCTTGTCAGTTTTCTACATTTATACAGTAGTTCTTTCAAGATCCTAGGGATGAAATCACTGAAACCTTGTGTGATTTACAAATTTGCAAAATGTTGGCCATTTTTTAGAAAATACATATTACTTGGTGCCTGAAACCTAAAAAGGCTGCCAAGTACAGAAATTGGATTCTGTTCAGTAGCATTTTGTTTAGCAGGGTGAAAACAGAGCCCTCTTGGAAAAATCAGTTTTTAGTTTTAGATTCTAAAACAAAACAAAGGAGGAAAAAAAGGGGAGAATAATTATATACATAGTAGTGCAACCCCTAACTCACCTTTGTTGGTACTGATTTTTTTTTTAAATGAATATCATTATTGCTGTTACATAAGCTTTACACTGAGGTGAGGGTTGAAGTGGGAACTCAAATGGTGAGGTTTAATATGGTGATTAAAAGATGATCTTTTTTAATTAAAAAGAGAGAGGGAAAATGTGGATAAGAAAAACCATTCAAGTGCCCCCCCCTTTTGTTCTTTTTCCCCTTTTTTTCCCAACCACTAACTATTATTTAAGTATTTTTATACTATGCTTCAATCTTTTACAATTGTTACTCATTTCCATTTAGCTTGTTTTAATTATTTTTAAGCGGTTTCTCTTTTTCTTCAAAAACAGTATTCTAAGTGTCTTAACTTGCCCTGCTGTGTGAGATGTTGTATCTAAGGGGCTACCATCTTGACTTTTTGGACCCCCCTCCTGTGAATACCCCCGGCCACTCATCCCGTTGCCTTTACCTGGCAATGTCCATGACAAGCTCATCTTCCTTGTTTATCTGAGGGTGTTCGGCGATTCCAACGAGTCGGCCGATGATCCATTTCCTTAGCCGTGCGATGCTGTGCTCAGTTACGCTGACCGACCAAAAGAGAAAAGCACAACAGCATTAACAGGTCTTGCAGGTTATTACGTGTTTATTTAAAATCTTTTTACACTGCCTGTCCTGCCAGCACATCTCCAGGCAGCATAAAACATTAAAATAATTTGATACCATACAAAAGACAATAAAGCCTGCCGGGCAGCAATGAAGCTAAAATCTATTATCCCCTTTAGTTATACAGAAGAGTGACTGTGAATAATGGATCAGTACAGTGGAACCTGGTTTTAATGGACCATTTGGGGGATAGGGGCATCTGTTACTCCTGAATATTTATAATATTTTCATCATTTTACCTAATTTGCATAATAGCATCCTTGCACAAATGATGTAAATACCCCAAATGTTGTAAAATTAAAGTTAAATTAATGTAAATTTAACTGCTCATTCAGATTACTTCAGATGCATCCGACTTGTCCATTAGTTTGGAGGATACCTGGAGAGAAATATAGTTCATTACATCCAAAGTCTGCTAAATGGAAGTCTGTTAAATCGAGGTTTCACTGTCTTATCATGGGATATCAAATGCTAAGAGGAATAAAAATGTTTTCAACATGTGCCTGAATTATAACAGTAAATGAGAAGATTCATTTACACAGGGAATATATTTTGTCGATATATTATTTTGAGACCCAATGTGGTATTACGGGTGTTGGATCGGGGAGCCCCCAATTCAAGTCTGCCCTCCAGAACTTCACTAAGTGTTACTGGACAATCACTACCTCTCAGATCAACTTCCTCCACAGGGTTGTTGTGAGGATAAAATGAGGAAATGGAGAACCACCTTGAACTCCTGTAAAAAAGGTAGATTCTAAATCTAATACATGAATTAAAAAAGAGTGCAGTCTTTTCAGCCTGATCAATCCCAGATATATTAGACTAGCACCCAGAGTTGCTGAAAGACTAAAAGAGAGCCAGTTTGGCCTAGTGGTTAAGGCACAGGGCTAGAAACCGGGAGACTGTGAGTTCTAGTCCCACCAGGAAAACCAGCTGGGTGACTTTGGGCCAGTCCCTCTCTCTCAACCCAACTCACCTCACAGGGTTGTTGTTGTGGGGAAAATAGGAGGAGGAAGGAGTATTAGATATGTTTACCACTTTGAGTTATTTATAAAAACAATAAAGGTGGGATAAAAAAAATATTTTTAAAAAAAGTCAGGTGAAATATAAATTTAATTAATAATAATAATAATAGACTGCAACTCCAAGCTCCACTTGAAACAATGGCCATTGTCAGTCATTTCACATGTAGTTATAAAGAGAAATTTTTATTCTCTTTCATTCTAAAATATATATGACACCCTCTCCCATTAGCAGCTTAAGACAGCTTACAAAATTTCATATACGCAAAGAGATTAAAGCCCAGCTAAATCCTTCTAACAATTCTGAAAAAGCCCATAGGGCTCGGGTGAAAAATGAACGTATTAAGCCCCTTCCTAACCCTTAACAAGGCGGGAGCCAGCCCTCACTCCAGCTATAAGTTGTTCCCCGGCCTAGGCACTTTTACACAGAAAGCAGAATGAGCTGCTGATGTTAAATGTATCTATGGCGAGACCTGCAAGAGGTGCCCTACTTGAAGGCAGTCCTACTCATAATCTTCGCCCAAGGCCGGACAGACAACTAATGGTTTAGGCCAGTGTTGTCCAAACTTGGCCACTTTAAGATGAGTGGACTTCAACTCCCAGAATTCCCCAGCCCCCCATGCTCGCTGGGGGGTTCTTGGGGGTTGAGGCCAACTCTTTTTAAATGGGCACGTTTTGGAAACTCTTGCGTAAAACAATTTATTTGTGTGTGGGC